ATTTTTGAACATAAAAGTGGCTATAACTCGGAAACGGCTCATTTCCGGACCTATGTTTGTATGAACTTTTTTGCTTGTTTTTGGGTCCCGAATCACCTCCCGAAGTGGAGTAGGCGATTTTTCGGACACCCTGTATATATGTATATATATTAGAAGTTTATAAATATATAAAGATTGCAAATATAATTAATTAAATAAATATTTATAAACTTAAAAATTAAAATTCGCAAATGTAATATATAAAAGTCACGGTTATATACATATGCTTTTCTATCTAAAAAAAGTCTTACATTAAAAACCTTTACTTTAGCATAATAATATTTACATGTAATATTTAAATGCATACCAATAATTATATTATTGACTATGAGAAATAACTGTAGTTTATAACATTATTTTACTCTTATTAAATTTATTTTACCTATGCATGTTCAATTGGTCAAATTACGGCTAAATTACAAGCAACAACAAAAGGATATTGAGACTTCCGGTTCCGGAACATAGAAGGTGACAGGTGTGAACATAGCGGAGATAAAGTGATAGAAAAGTGCGACACAGAAAGGGTGGGAGAGAGTGAGAGTAGCGGGACGGCAAGGGATGGAGGTGTGAGACGGCGGAGGAGAAAGAGTTAAGCGGGGGCGAGATCGGTTAAAAGGTGAAAAGTGAAGAAAGTGGCTGGAACGAAGTGACAGTTGAGGCATAGACGGTAAGTAACATAGAGAGGCGACAGAACGTAAGAAAGAGGCGCGAAAGCGGGCATAGACTAGCTCAGTCATAGAAGGGAAGCTCGGATATAGAAGGAATAGTAGGACGTGCACGCAGCCATAGGATACAAAAAAGAAAGAGGGATAGGCAAATCAAGAACAGCGGATGGATAAAGAGAAGGAAATAGAATCAGAAAGTGCACAACAGGGAGATAAAGGAAAGAAGGGGGAAGGCGAAGGCGAGAAGAAAGCGAAAGGCAGACCAACGAAGGCGGAGGAGTTAGCCAAATTGAGAAGAACGGACAGTACAGGATCAGTCAAGGAATTCTTTCAAAAGAGTGAGAAAAGGAAGAGGGAAGAAGAGGTGGAGGAAGCAGCGAATGCGGAGAAAGAAATTCTAAAAGAATTTAACGCACAAAGAAGGGTCAACAGATCACCGCCGCCCAAAATCAAAAAAGAAAAGCAGGGAAAAGAAAATATGGCGACGGAAGAATTACTGGAGAAGGTTAAAGAAATTTTGAAGAAAATGGAGGAACAAGAGGGAGAAAGAAAGAAAGATAAGGAGGAACAAGAGAAAGAAAGGAAAAGAGATAAAGAGGAAATAAAAAACGAAATTAAGGGACTGAGGGAGGAATTGAGGAGAAGCGAGGAGATATGGGAAAATCAAAGAAAGACCCTGGAAGGAAGAATTAAGAATTTAGAGGAGAAGGCGGAGAAGATAGAAGTAAACATGTCAATGAGTGAGGGAGGGGAGATAATAAGGAAAATGAAAGAGATAGAAAGAAATATGTGTAGGAACTATAGTATAATGCGGCATAGCAACTCGATCGTCCTTCGGTCGCTTAAATATTTTCGTGCCCGCTTCGCGACAAGAGCGTTAGTTTTATGTTCGACGTTATTTTGTTAAAAGCAGCGCGTCCCGGCAACGGGAAAAACAGGCTCAGTCCTGCGACGACCGCCGAAAGAGCCAGTCTTTCTCGTTTTTACGATTCTGTATTCAGTAATAAATCCTGACTAATATAATACATTTTAACGAGTGGCTTCCTCCCCTTACATATGGAGATGGCAGAAAGAAGAAGGAGGAGAGTAAACATAATTGTAAGAGAAGAGAAAACAGGAAATGAAAAGGAAAGAAAAGAAAAAACCGAGAAGTTGATAGAAGAAATAAATAGATCGAAAATGGCCGTCGAGGAAGTACAAGAAATTGGACATGGAGAATTTAAGATGAAGGTACTGAGATGCAGAAATTGGGATAACAAACGAGAGATAATGATGAGAAAGAAAGAGCTAGGAAAGAAGTATGGCTGTTTTCTGAATGACGACCTTACTAAAGAAGAAAGGCAGATACAGAAAGAGTTAAGAAAGATAGCAAGGGAAAAAAGGGAGGCAGGAAAATGGGTAACGGTCGGTTACCAAAAAATATGGGAGGATAATAAGGAATGGAGATGGAACGAAAACAAAGAAGCGCTAGAAGAAAGGGATCACTTTCGCAGATAAGAAAGAAAAGAAGAAGGATAAAGAAGGGTTAAGCATGATGAACGAGAGAAGGAGGGAAGAGATACAAGAAAGAAGACAGGAAAGGTCCAAGGAGATAGAAGAAAGGCGGAACACACCAGAAGAAACCAGAAAGGACGAAGAAAGTATAAAGGAGGTAGATGAGGAAAATATTAGAGGAAACAGAATAAGGGAAGTCGAGGGACAAGAGAAAAGATATATAGGAGAAGAGGAAAGAAACGACGGGGAGAATGAAGAGACGTGGAAAGTGGCCTTTTGGAACGTAGCTGGTTTAACAAACAAGGATAAGGACTTCTGGGAAGGGATAAAAGAATGGGATGTGATTGTGATGATGGAGACTTGGACTGATGAGAAAGGATGGGAGAAGGTGAAGGAGAAGCTACCGAGAGAATATAGATGGAGAGTACAGATAGCAGCCAGGAGGAACAAGAAAGGCAGAGCGTGCGGAGGCATGTTGCTAGGAATAAGGAAAAGCATAGAAGAGATAAAGGAAAGAAGGGAGACGGAGGAAGAAGGAAAAATCGAAGGTAAGATAAGAATAGGAGAGGAAGTATGGAGAATAATAGGAATCTATGTAAACAACAATATAGACAAAAAACTAGAAGGTCTGAAGGAAAGGACGGAGGAGGGGGAAAAAGGAGTAAGGACCATAATAGGAGGTGACTTTAACGCGAGAACGGGAGAGGAAGGAGGATGGGAAGAGGAAATCGAGCGAAGAGAGGAAAGAGGGAGGAAGTCTAAAGATAAGAAGATAAATAAAGAAGGCAGAAAGTTACTGGAGTTTATCGAGGAGAGAGGATATATGATATTAAATGGAGGCACAAAGGGGGACGAGGAGGGAGAATATTCATACACAGGGGGAAGAGGTGAGACAGTCATAGATTACATAATAGGGGACGAGGAGGTTAGAGAAAAGGTGGAAAGACTGGAAGTAGGAGAAAGGATAGATTCGGACCATCATCCATTAATACTATGGGTGAGGGGAAGCTCAAAGAGAAGGCAAAGGAGGAGAGGAACTGAAAAAATGAAAAGAAGGGGAGTATGGAATGAGGAAGGAAAGACGCAATTTAAGGAGAAGTTAGGCGCGATTGAAGGAAAAAGAGACCTGCAAGAGGAAATAGAGGAAGGGACAAGGAAGATAAGAAGGGTGATTGAGGAGAACGAGGACAAGAATGAAGGAATGACTATCAAGAACAAAAGAGGGTGGTGGGACGAGGAATGTACGGAGAGCAAGAGAGAAGTGAGGAAAGAACTAAGGAAATGGAGAAAAGGGAAAGGAGAAGCAGAAAGATACAGAAAAAAAGGAAAGAATATAGGGAAATGTGTGATAGAAAGAAGAAGGAAGAGAAAGAAAGAATGATCAGAGAGATTGGAGAAGCGAAAACGGAGGGAAAGGTATGGGAGTTGATAGGCAGAGTAAGGAAGAGAAGAAGAAGGGTGAATGAAGAGATAAAACCGGAAGAGTGGAAGGAGTATTTCATGGATCTGATGGGTGGAGTGGAGAACAGAGTGGTAAAGGGAGAGGGAGACAGAAGCAGACAAGAGGAAGAAGAGATAGGACTAGAAGAGATAAGAAACGTAATAAAGAAACTAAAGACGGGAAAAGCAATAGGCAATGACGGGATACCTAACGAGGCATGGAAGTACGGAGGAGAAGAAATGGTGAAATGGATATGGGAGGTATGCAAACGTGTCTGGAGAGGTGAAGGCTGGCCGGAACAATGGAAGGAAAGGGAGATAATCCCATTAGTTAAAAAAGGAGAAGGGCGAGAGGTGAAGGACTATAGAGGAATAACCATCATGTCTTCGATGTACAAAATCTACACGGCGGTACTGGCGGAAAGAATAAGAGAAGAAGTAGAAACGAAGAAATTGATCCCCGATAATCAAACGGGATTCAGGAAAGGAATGGGAACGATGGATCAAATATTCGCTTTGAATTACCAGGTGAACAGACAAATAGGAAAAGAGAAAGGAAAGATGACAGTGTTTTTTGTGGATCTGAAGGCTGCCTTCGACTCAGTGGACAAAAGAGTATTAATAAAGGCAATGAGAGAAAGAGGAGTGAGACAAGGACTGATAGACAGAGTAGAGGAAGTATTGAGGGAAACAAAGAGCAGAGTAGGGAAA